TGTTTGTGGGGAGCCCTGATCTTCACGCTGCACGTGGCGCTGAGGCTGCTTCTGTCCTACCACGGCTGGCTTCTTGAGCCCCACGGAGCCATGTCCTCTCCCACCAAGACCTGGCTGGTATGGGAGGGGCACAGCCCTGCTCCGGCTCTCCTGGGACCCGCTTCTCTGTCCCCCTTTCTCTGTGGGTCTCTGTCCCCTTTTCTCTCGGGGTCGCTGATGCTCCGTCTCAGTCTCTGTGTCCTTCTCTTTGGGTTTCTGTCCCACTGTCGACCCCGCCCCCCTCAACCCCCTGGCCCCGTTGAGGGGTTAATGACCCCGTGACTCCTCTTCTCCAGGCCTTGGTCCGCATCTTCTCCGGCCGCCACCCGATGCTCTTCAGTTACCAGCGCTCCCTGCCGCGCCAGCCCGTGCCCTCTGTGCAGGACACTGTGCGCAAGGTGGGCGGGGTGCGCGGTGTGGGCGGGGCGTGACCGGGGTGGGCGGGGCGTGATTGGGGCGCTCGGGTGGGCGGGGCGTGACCGGGGTGGGCGGGGCGTGGCCGGGGCGCGCGGGTGGGCGGGGCGTGACCTGCGCTCTTCCCCTCTCCAGTACCTGGAGTCGGTCCGGCCCGTCCTGTCTGACGAGGACTTCGACTGGACCGCGGTCCTGGCGCAGGAATTCCTGAGGCTGCAGGCGTCGTTGCTGCAGTGGTACCTGCGGCTCAAGTCCTGGTGGGCGTCCAACTATGTGAGTCCCGCCACCGCCACCAAGGCCCCACCTGAAAGGCCAAGGGCGTGAGCTCGCCCTGCTGAACTTGCGAGGTCTGCGCCCCACAACGCGCAAAAAAACCCAAAAATATAAAAATTAGCCGAGTGTGCTGCCATGCGGCCATAATCCTATCTGCTTAAGAGGCAGAGAGAATCGCTTAAACCTGGGAGGTGGAGGTTGCAGTGAGCCAAGGTCATGCCACTACAGCCTGGGCAACAGAGCGAGACTCTCTCAAAACAAAGCAAAAAGAACAAAGGAGTTGAAGAGTGAACAGTGGTGGGAGAGGCCTGAGCTCCAGACTGAGGATCCTGGACTCTATCCTGGGCATACTAGGGAGGCATGGGAGGGTTTGTTGCCGGGAAGAGGCAGGGTCAGCTCTGGTGTGGGGGAGAGACTGGAGGGTGGAAGGCTGGAGAGGAAGCTACCGTGAGCCCTACCATTGTAGGTCAGTGAGACACTGTGTTGAGAATGAGAGGGGCAGGGAAGAGGGTCTGCGGAAGAGTCCCAGCGGGCACCAACATGGCAAGGTCAGGTGGTCAACCTGAGGAAGGGGACGAAATGTCTGGAGAAGTAGAAGGGAATGTGGGCTTTGCTTTTCTAGTTAAATTTTTTTTTTTTCTGCACGCTTTTGGACAAGATTCTGTTTACACACACACACACACACACACACACACACACACACGCACTTCTTTCTTCCCTTCTTTCCCTCCCTCCCCCCTCCCTCCCTTCCTTTCTTCCTTCCTTGCTCCCTCATTCCCTCCATTCCTACTTCCCTTTCTTCCTTTCTTTTGCTTCCTTCTTTCCTTCCTTCCTTTTCCCTTCCTTCCTTCCCTTTCCTTTCTTTTTCTCTTTTCCTACCTCCCTTCCCCTCGTCGCTCCCTCCCCCTCGTCGCTCCCTCCCTCCCTCCCTCCCTCTCTCTCTCTTTTCTCCCTCTCTCTTTCTCTCTGTTACTTTCTTTCTTTCCTCCTTCTTTCTTGGAAGGGGTCTCACTCTGTCACCCAGGCTAGAGGGCAGTGGCGTCATCATGGCTCACTGCAACCTTGACCTCCCAGGCTGAAGCTGTCCTCCTACCTCGGCCTCCCGAGTAGCTGGGACTATAGGCATGTGCCACCAAGCCCAGCTAATCTTTAGGCTTTTTTGTAGAGGTGGGGTCTTGCTATGTTGCCCAGGCTGGTCTCAAGGATAACTGGGATCAAGCTATCCTCCCACCTCGGCCTCCCAAATGCTGGGGTAACAAGCGTGAGCCACTGCGCCTGGCCTGTATATTTTACTGTACCTCCAGGCCAACTGCCAGTAATAACACACATCATTATTTTATGTACAAGAAAAAAACCCTACAAGGCCAGCTGAAGTCTTATCATAGTTCTTTCAGTTGTGTTTTTCATTGTTTGAATTTTCTTATGCTACTGGCAAGGTAAAAAATTTCATGTATTTATACATATACATTATTTCACGTATTAATTGTTTTGTAAATTTTGCATTTATGTTCTGTTTATTTTTCTTTCTTTCTTTCTTTCTTTCTTTTTTTGAGGCAGAGTTTCATTCCTGTTGCCCAGTTGGGGGTAAGGTGGTGCGATCTCAGCTCACTGCAACCTCCACCTCCCAGGTTCAAGCGATTCTCCTGCCTCAGCCTCCTAAGTAGCTGGAATTACAGGTGCCCACCACCATACCCAGCTAATTTTTGTACTTTTAGTAGAAACAGGGTTTCACCATGTTGACCAGGCTGGTCTCGAACTCCTGACCTCAGGTGATCCGCCTGCCTCAGCCTCCCAAAGTGCTGGGATTACAGGTGTGAGCCACCTGGCCCATCCCTATTTTTTTTTTTTTTTTTTTGTATGAAATTTCACTCTTGTCACCCAGGCTGGAGTGCAATGATGCAATCTCAGCTCACTGCAACCTCTGCCTCCCAGGTTCAAGTGATTCTCCTGCCTCAGCCTCCCAAGTAGCTGGGATTACAGGCACACACCACCACGCCTGGCTAATTGTTGTATTTTTAGTAGAGACATGGTTTCATCATGTTGGTCAGGCTGGTCTTGAACTCCTGAGCTCAGGTGATCTGCCCACCTCAGCCTCCCAAAGTGCTGTGATTACAGGCGTGAGCCACCACGCCTGGTTGTACCTTGTTCTCTCCAACAGCTGTGTGATATCCTGTGTTATTCCACTGCCGGAGTGTAACAGGGTTTAGCTAACTGAACCCCCAGGGCTGGATTTCTAGGTGATTGCTAGTTACTGACTGTGATATAGCTGGCTTCTTTGGCTCTATCCTCCCTGCCTGACACAGGAACATTCGGGGGCTTCCCTGTCCCGCTGTCCCTCCCCCAGCAAGGCCCTAGCCCCCTCACTGTGTCTCCCTACCCTGCTTAGGTCAGTGACTGGTGGGAGGAATTTGTGTACCTGCGCTCCCGAAATCCACTGATGGTGAACAGCAACTATTACATGATGGTGAGAAGGGGAGCGTTTCTGGAGCAGGGTGAGATTCCTAGGCCCTGGGTCTGGGGTTGAGGTACCTGGGTGGAATGTGACGTTCATGCTCAGTCAGCTGGATCTGGACGCACAGGCTGGGATTCATCATTCTGTCCTGTTTTGGGGTCAGGACCTGTGTTTGGGTCAGTGGCCCCATTGGGGCAAACCTGATCACGGGCGTTTTGCCGTCCCCTCTGCTGGTCCCCAGGACTTCCTGTATGTCACGCCCACACCTCTGCAGGCAGCTCGCGCTGGAAACGCCATCCATGCTCTCCTCCTGTACCGTCACCGCCTGAACCGCCAGGAGATCCCCCCGGTAAGAGGGGCCCAGTGGGCTAGGGTGGAGCTGTGGTCCTGTGGCGTGGGTCCTGGAAAGCAGCTCACAGCCCGCGGTTTCCTGCAGACTTTGCTGATGGGAATGCGTCCCTTATGCTCTGCCCAGTACGAGAAGATCTTCAACACCACGCGGATTCCAGGTGTCCAAAGAGGTGAGACTCCTCCCATCCCCACTGATGGGGGGAGAACAATATCGTGGCTAAGAGCATGCTTTCTGGAGTCCACCTGCCTGAGTTAGGGTCCATCACTTCCTTGCTGTGTGACCCTCTGCATGTTATTACCCTCTCTGGGCCTCGGCTTTCACTAAAGCAGGATAATAATAATGGTACCTAGGGGTGGGCACAGTGACTCACACCTGTAATCCCAGCACTTTGGTCGGGGGG